CTCTCTCTCTCTCTCTCTCTCTCTCTCTCTCTCTCTCTCTCTCTCTCTCTCTCCCTTTCTCTATTAATCTTGTTTTTTGCTTCTTTTATAGTCTAATTTTTAGTTTCCTGTGTTCTTTGAGTGTGTTTTGAAGGTCCCAGATGCCCTTTGCAGAGTACTTTTGTATTATGCATACTAAAGTTATCAAGAATTGTATATGGGTCTTTATTGTTCTTTCTTGTTTCCATGTCTACTTTACCTTTGATTTTATAATTGATCTTTTAGATAAAAAAAAGGTTCTTTCTTGAAATTTTTTTGGTGCACCAGTGCTTGTTCAATTCCTTTATCTAGCTTGTCATTTTTTACTATGTGTTTTCGATGAACTGGATCTGATGCTGGAATCAAATTTGTGAAGTAGGAAATTTAGGGAAATGCTGAGGTCCCGTTACGGAATCATTCCGTCGGGATTTGTAACCGTTAGATCATCATGTAACCGTTAGAGATAGTTGATCTAACGGTTACAAACCCCGATGGAATGGTTCCGTAACGGGACCGTAGCATCGTCCCGAAATTTAATGTAGGATTACTTAATTGCACATACAGTTTGCAATTGTGAGAAAATTAAGTTGAGCTTCGTTTGTGTTCCTCTTTGCAGTGGTCCTATTCCATAAAATGATATGAGACACTCTCCTTGGGTAGCATTGATGTTACATTACATCTGTAGTGTGTTCATCGCGATTTATATGCATTTAATTCTGCTCAACTAGTTCTTCGTGGGCCATTTATGGTTGCTACATCTATCGAACTTGCCTTTCTTAAAGAGTTAGTTGCGTGAACTTAACATTTCAGACGAGTGGAAACAAATAAGTGTAATTATGGAATTGGGACCAAACTTTGCAGATTTTCAATGTCTTTAAAGATTTTTCTTATTTTGTCTATTATTTTTCAGTATGTTTGGATGGAACATTACCGGGCTATCACTTTCATCGCGGGTTCGGGACAGGCGCTAACAGTTGGCTCATCCAGTTAGAGGTTCGTGCACGATTCTGTGTGAAGTTGACATTTACTTTGATTGATTTCCACAAAATAAGGAATAAAATAAAAGTAAAAGTAATTATGTTTTCTGCACAGTTTGATTCTTTCAGTCTAAAGATTCATATATCATATACGACATTTTCATTATAACCTTCACTTTACGAGCCTTGTGGCAGGGTGGAGGATGGTGCAACAGTCTCAGGTCATGTATTTACCGTAAAACGACACGTCGTGGCTCGTCAACACACTTTGAGAAAATAATTCCATTCACAGGGTTACTTAGCAACAAGGCTGAAGAGAATCCAGGTCCATAACACTGAATAAACATTTTCTTTTAGCATGACAATAAGTTCTTACCTTTCGCCGCTTTATGTGATGTTTTTTTTTTTTTTTTTTTTTCACTTTATTTCACTGTCATTTTACTGTAAGCAGATTTTTTCAACTGGAATAGAGTAAAGGTTCGCTACTGTGATGGTGCTTCCTTTGCTGGGGATGGCGACAACGAGGTCCGTTTAGCATTTTCTCCCATTTGGTTACAGTCTGAGATTTTTTTTTTTATTTTTTTTTATTACGAGTTTCATTATATATTGTTCTTGTTTTAAAGTTAGTTCCCCTCCACATGTGCAATTGGTAAATAGCTACATGTCTCAATAGAATGTCTGTGATTTCGAAAAATAATTGGGTTTCATTCATTTATTTTTGTGTGTGTGTGTGTGTGTGTGTGGCAAAATGGACTTAGTTCTGAAGGGTATTACTTGTGTTGCTCTATATGAATATCATGGCTTTAATTTCTTTGTTTTTTTTATTTACCTGCTATAATATGACGCCAATTTGTGCAGCCTGCAGGTTTGCATTTTAGAGGACACCGCATATTTCGAGCTGCAATGGATGAACTGATGTCAAAAGGAATGCGCTATGCCGACCAAGTAAATTCATATTTTATTTGATTCATTTTCTCGTATTACTTTTTTTCTTTTCTTTTCTCATCTCTTGTAGTTTTCATTCCCTTCAGGCACTTCTTTCCGGTTGCTCGGCTGGTGGCCTAGCTTCTATTTTGCACTGTGACGAATTTCGAGGATTATTTCCCGCGACTACAAAAGTGAAGTGCCTGAGCGATGCTGGATTATTTCTTGACGCGTACTAATTTCATATTTTTTTTTTAAAATTTTGCCTTTTGCAATTACAAAACCTGTGGTTCTTTTTTCCTCCTCACATTTTTAGGTATTTATATTTCATTTTTGGCAGTGTTGATGTATCTGGTGGACACTCTCTGAGGACCTTCTTTAATGGTGTAGTTACTTTACAGGTATTACGCAGTTTATCCTAATTCTTTCTATCGTCATTTTCTTAAACGGTTTTTAGTTTTTCACTTATGTATATTTTACAATCGAATGCTGTACTTCAGCAAAACTCTTTCACAAATGAAGTTGATACACTCAAATTTGTAAAACTTGGTGCCGAGCAAATTTCTGATATGGCAAAGTTACTAACTTTTCTTTATTATTACTTTGCATTTGAAACTCGATTTTTTTTTATTATTTATTAACAAGTACAAATACGAATATGAGCAAATTAAAAACTTTCCTTTTCCGGTTTCATGACTTATTATCATTACTAAATCTTAAATTGCATTACCTTGTAAATATTATATGAGATAGCACTTTTCTGATGCAATCAATGGTATAAAATTCCGCTTATATGCATTTTGTTCATTCTAATATAATCCTTCTCTGATGATATTCACATGTATATTTGCAGAATGTTCAGAAGACCCTGCCGAGCTTTTGTACCAACAAACTCTACCCAACCTCTGTAAGACTACCACTTTCCATTATTATTATTATTCTCTCGAGCCATACAATGTGTACTTTTGCCGATCACTAATATTCTTTCATTTCTGTTTATTTTTCCTTAGTGTTTCTTCCCTCAGAACTTAATTGCCAACATCAAGACCCCTTTGTTCATCTTGAATGCTGCCTATGATTCGTGGCAGGTATGACAAAATCGATCGAACTTCAAGTTGGATTTCAGTAATTTTGAAGTTTCTTTGGGGGTTTTTATGTTAATACATAAACCTCAGGGGTGGTTTTGCAATTATCCCTAAAACCTAAAACGCGCCTAATTTTCCTTTGTCCAGGTGCAAGAAAGCATAGCTCCTCCATTGGCTGACCCAAAGGGCGAGTGGCGTGCTTGCAAATTGAACAATGCGCACTGTTCTCCATCACAGATCCAATTCCTTCAAGGTTATAATCAAATGCTTGTGCTCTATATTTCCATATTTGCCCTTTAAGACATTGTTTTGAAGTTTGTTGTGTTAAAATTTACTTGTCGGGAGCAGGTTTTAGGTATCACATGTTGAACGCAGTTAAGGGCTTTGCCTACTCCAAACAAAACGGGTTATTTTTAAATTCTTGCTTTGCTCATTGCCAATCCGAGAGACAGGACACATGGTTTGCCGACAATTCTCCTGTTATTAACAACAAGGTAATTAAAAAAAAAAAAACAAACATTTACATATTTCTAGCTAAAATTAGATACAAACTGCATGTACGTTAAGGCCATATAAGCTAGTTTATAGCTTAATTGGTTAGCTTATAAGCTTTCTGTATTGAAATAAGTTTTGTTTGATAGGACGAACTTATTTAAAAAGCTTCGGTGTATCTCATAAGCTTCTTTAGGTAACTTTTCAAATATGCTCGTTGAAATTTTTATTTCACCTAGCGTATCAGCTAATTTTACCAATCACTAATCACTGTTGTCATATAAGCTAAATTTTCAGCTATAAGCCATAAGTATAAGCTATAAGCTCGAATATTACTGATAAACTAGAAGATAGCTTATCAGCTATCAACTAGTTTTACCAAAGACAACCTAGTATTTGATTTGCTCATGTTTGACTCCTGAAAAATGTTAGCTGAATGAGTACATTTTAGTATCATGCATCGATTTTAACTTGTGCATTAAAATAAGCAGCCGATTGCGATTGCGGTTGGGGATTGGTATTTCGATCGAGCAAGCGTCAAGGCAATCGACTGTGCGTATCCGTGTGACAACACATGCCACAATCTGGTGTTCAAGTGAAACCCAGGGATGGTGCAATGTATTTGTAGCTCATATTGATTGAATTTTATATATAATTATTGAAAGAAAAAAAAAAATATCATTGATGATTATTCAGCTCCAATTGATGCTGTTGTTGTAAGAGTGAAAATTGTGAAACGTTGATGTATTCTTCTTGTATACATTAATTTCACATGAAAATGTGATTTTTTCCCCCTTAAATGAATCTTACAAATATTACCATGTGAGTGGTTCATATAGTTTTAATTGAATGGTTGGTGTGAGGCAAGCTTATGGATGCATACTAGTATTCGATCTTGTGAACATGTACAGATACAAATAAAATTTTATATGTTATATGTGGGCGTGTATGTAATATCTAAAATCATAAATTAAATAATAAACATATCACATTTTATAAATTTTATCATTAGTAATGATATAAATATTAAATGTTAACTTACTTATTAATTTTTATATCAAATGCAATAATATATTTTTTGCAAATCTTTGTTGATTATAAACAATGGATTATATAAGACAATATTGAAATTAGTTATAACCATTGTGTACTGAATTTACAAAAGTTTGGTTATATCATAAAAAAAAAAAAAAAA